ACAACAGCTGAGCTCAGTGTGGGAGAGGCACGCAAACTGGGCACTCCTAGCCGGAGTGGGCGCCACTGCCCTCCCCGCAGCACGCCTTCTGTCAGCGCAGGCAACCCTTCCCGAGGGTGGAGCGAGGGCACACAGCGTGCACATAGCCAGATACCACCTCCCGGAAAGCCAGACGGCGGTGCACACAGAAAGACTCTGCTCTTTAGCTGCCATTTTTCCTGCTGCTTGGGAATAAAACTTGTATGTGCTGAGTGGGGAGACTGAAAATCACACAGATGATAAAACACCCTTGCTGGAAATTTTTATATCTCTTTTTCTCCATAAAACAAACCTCTAATATTCACGGTATCTTATTTGATATGGCTAAAACATTCTACAACTAAAAACTGCTCTCTAATCTAATGATAAATAACCACAAATCCGAGGAATAATTAAATACACAAAAAAGATCTGAGTCGGTGTTCACGTCAGAAGAAGGAGGGCGATTAAAGACAGGGACAGCTGTAATTACCCACACAGAACTATATTTCAGCTAATGAACAAACAGATCATCATTCCTGGGATGCAGAGGCAGCATGCTGATACTGGCACTCCAAAGAGAAGTCGTTTCCTAGAAAAGAATACTTTCTGGTTCACCTTGCACTTTAAGCTTAAACATTTACTTTCATCTTGTGGCTTTATTCAGAGAGGACAGTGACGACCCTGAATGAATAATGAGTCTGTACTAGTGACTGCCTTACAAGCTGTCCTGGTCATGTACCTAGCGTAAGGACCACAAGCCTCGTTTGCTCCACTGTGATAATACGGACTTGGATAATTCTTCTGACTCTGCTCTCGGCGTGCGCTCACTGGCTCCTTCCTAACGTGCACTACTGTGCCATCAGGAGAGGCCTCCTCAGGCCCAAGCATCCAGGGCAAGATGCCGGAGATTTTAATCATCCTGGGAGAGTTTCAGGCATCCAGAAATTCATGGTGCTCACAAAACCACATCAGCATAAATGTGTCAGATTGCTTTGAAAGACTGGACCCTCCACTGCAATAATTTCCCTTTTGTGCCCATAACTCTCGAGATTTTCAAGTGATCTTCAGTCAGTGACAACACAGAACCAGCTGTATTTTAAAATCCAGCCCCGGTAAGCATTTGAGGAAGAATATATAAATCTGTGTTCCAGAGTTTGGGCATACACTACTTTTACATGCTGAAGTTTATGGGCCTGACATTCCTAAAGACTCACTTTTATATTATTGATTTCAAGGCGCGTTCACCATGAACATTTCCATTTAGGTCTACAGGGCTTTTGTTTGCTCAGTTGGCTTTTGGCTTTGTTTTCACTTTCAGAGTAAGACTGAGCTTTTTGAATTTACTGATCTAGGATCATTCTCCCAAGCTGTAGATTTTTGTCTTTTCAGGTGAAACACGGAAACAACTAAATACTTTGGTGAAGGGGTGCTCCCGTTCTTCCTTTCCTCACTCTCTGTCTTTTGCTTGTTGTCTCCTCACGGGGTTGTCACTGCCATGCAAGTCGAGGGACCACGTGGTAAGCCACTGGAAGTCAGCCACGCCCTCTCCATTCCCTCTCATAGATGTGACTGACTCTGCCTCCTTGGAAGGGCAATCTCTGCCCCTCCTCAATGGGAACCTTCTCAGAGCTCCTCCCCTCCCTGGCCAGCGATTCTCTAGGGAGCGTGGAGCACCAGGCCAGAGCAGCGCTTGCCTTTCTGCTGTCCAAGGAGGTCGAGCTCCACTGACAGTGTCTGTGGACACGCTTGTTCCTGTCTTCGGCCCGACTCTCTCTTGAGCTGCCTTTTGCTCTTAACTTAAGTCCACTCTGACCGGGACCCCATGGTTGGCTCTGTGTGGCAGAGGTATTTTCACCCAACTCCTGGCTTTCCCTGTTTGCTCTATGGCTCTATGGCCTTTTCTGTCCTCTGAGAAAGTCCTTCCTTTTCCTTTTTCTTTTTTTGTTTTAAGATAATAAAAGTCTCCTCTTATATTTTCTTTCAGAAATTTATTGTTTTACATTTGGTATTTAGACCTAGAATCCACCAAAGATTTTTGGTGTGCGTGTGCGTCCTGAGGTAAGGGAAGCTTCTACTCTTACCCCCACGGACACCAAAGAGTTCTCCCAGCACCCGAGAAAGCAGCTCTGTGTCCAGTGAAGCGGCCCTTAACACCAGCCAGGAGACTCTTCTTCCTCCCGGCATGGTTGTCCAGCGCTGGCGTTATTTCTTCCTCAGAACTTTGGGAGAATTTACTGGAGAAAGAATCTGAACTGAGTTTTCCTTGCAGGAAGGTATTCCAGTTATCCACTAAACTAATTTAACATTTAAAGCAATATTTAGCTTTCTTATTTCTTTATTTTGGTTAGTTCTATTTTTTGGGAACTGTATTTTTTCAAGTAAATTTACTATTATTTTTGGCAAAAAAATTATAGTTTTTAATCATAGTTTTTTATAGTTCTGATTATAGTTTTTTAATTTCCGCAAGACCAGTCACTGTGTCCCTGTTCTGTGCCTAAGGTCTAATATCTACTTCCATCCGCTTACAAGATGATCATCAGTTCTATTAGTGCTCTCTAGGATAGTTTTATTTGAAGAACAAAACTGATGCTTTGCTCTTCTATATTTCAATAAATTACGTGCTTAATTTTATTATATCTTCCCCTCCGCTTTGCTGGAGTCCAGTTTTATTGTTTCTCACTTCTAGCTTTCCTAGCACTGGCTCCCTGCCTCCCTCCCACTGCAATCCGATGTTTGAAGGCGCACATTTCTGTCCTTGAAGACTCTCGCCATGTCCCACAGGTTGTCATCTTGCATGAGCATCCCAATGTGCTCTCTTCAAATTATTCTGTGACATTTTCTTGAGTCCACTAACTACTTAGAGATGCAACTCTGAAGTCCCAGATGCATGAAGGTCATGCATTCTGTTTGCTACTATTTGCAAGCTCTATTTCCCTCACATCTACTCTCTCAGCCCTATGCATTTCACGTATCTTAGTGTTTCAAGTATTGTATTATCAGTTATCTTTGAGGTAGGTTCACTTTAGGTGAAGCTTTAAAATTTAAGGTCATCCTAAAAGTTTATTTTCATGTGTGCTCCTCTATTTGTCATCCGCGACCTCTGTACTTTTGCTTCCCTCCAGACATCCTTTGCTCCACTCTTTCCCCATCTTTGGGGTTCATCAGGTTTTTGATGATTTTCTTTGACTTCTTTACCAGTTTGGAAACTGCACATCCCACTTGCACTTATCGGGGAGCAATGCCGAGTCCAGGTCCTCAGACTGTGACATTAACCAGCAGCGTTGCCTTCTCCTGCCTGCACTAAGCTCTACTGTTCCTGTGTCTCTGAACCTTCTCGGTGTTAATGTTTGGTCCCTTTTTGCTTTTCCCCCTAAAATTACCCTTGCATTTTACCAGGAATTTTTGTTATTTTAGAAGCTGGGCTGGCAGTACTCTGCATGTCCGTGTTGCGCGCAGCCCGCACTGTCTCTGGACCTGGGTGGTAATGCATCTTCTCTACCTCAGCCTGCTTTTAAGGTTGATGCTTGGTCTTCATTTTCCAAGAATCTGGCTATAGTGGCCATCAACTTCCCCTGATGTTTTCATTGTGTTGTAAAGGACTGTCTCACTCTATTCCTGTGTTTTACAACTTCAGAATTTCTATTTGAGAGCTTTTGTTGAGTCTCCATTTCGGCTGAAGTTCTTTTATCTATTTGGGTAGGGTAAGCATACATACTTTTAAGGTATATGTCAGACCTCCAAGGAGGTCGAGCTCCACTGACAGTGTCTGTGGACACGCTTGTTCCTGTCTTCGGCCCGACTCTCTCTTGAGCTATCATCGTTTCAGTGAGTGTGGATTCCTATAATGACTGCAATAAGCAGTTAACAATAAGCAGTGATTTCCCAGATTATTTTGTGTGCTTATGTATGTGTCTGTGTCTGGTTATTTTTGATTGTGTGTTGGACTTTGTTTTTGAGAAATGGTTTGTGAGAATATCTTGAAGCCTAGGCTTCCATTCCTTTCCTTGAGGAGAGATCTATGTGTGCTCTGCCCAAGCACTTGGGGACCCTACCACATCAGGACACCTCCATTCAACACTGAAGCTGAATAATTTGCAGCTGAGCTGTGGTTCCTCGTTCCCGTGCACTGACTTTTGGGGTGGACACTTCATGGCCAAACCCTGAGGCTGTGGACTTGGTCCCTTGGTCCCTTGTGATCCCAGGAGGCAGTGGGGTCACGGCAGATTCTTGATCACCTCTGCGAGGGTCCGCAGTATCCCTAGGGGTGGGGTGTGTGTCCCTGCTGTACTGACAACACCTCCAGAGCCCACAGAAGTCCGTTCCCATCCCTGTCCTGATGCTTCTCCAATACTTTGCATCAGACTAAAGGAAAACATTTGTTCAGTTCCTTTGGATGTTTTTATGGAAAGGTTGGTCTGATATTTTTCACCCGGCTTCTTTTATATGTAAGAGAAAATATTTATTTAGAGAGTTTTAGACACATAAACTGAAGCTAATTTGTAAATGATATACTCATTGTTGTACTTAAAAAAACTAAAAGCAGTTCAGCATTTACCATTTTTTCAATATTATTTTCCACCACATCTCTTAGTTATGGGAAAATATTTTTTAATTAAACGAAGTTGGTAGAACATCCATCTCCTCCTCCTTCTCAGTATATGACTAATTTTATGCCAGTTCTGATGGCTCAATATTGCAAAACATCTCTGAAAATTCTCCAAAGAGTGAATGAAATTCTAATCCCTAACATAAACCATAATATTTTCACAATAATACCCTAGTGGAGTTTCACAGTTTATATTCTATTTTCCAGTTATTAAGCCTATGTACATTTCTGTTTTAAACCCATCTTTTCTAGAAAGGTGTTATAGTTTCAAACTTTTGTGCATTTACTTCAGAGTTGTTTTTAACTGTATCAATTTTTTTTTTTATTTTGAAAATTAAAAAACTGACATACTTAGGAGTTTAAAAATACGTACCATTTGAGACAGAATTTCCATTTTCTGCAGTTACAGCACTGGGCAGTGAATTAGAGAATTGAATTCCGTGGTTGTTTGCATTTCTATCTTGAGTCTCCGAAGTGATTTCTGATGTACTGGCATCATGCTGGCTGGTTAGGTTCAGGTTAGTTTCAAAACCTAAAATAAATTTTAGAAAAGATTGTTCTTCTGTGATAACATGTACTGAGAAAACTGAATAGTACTAGGAGAAAATAATAAAACATCAAGTCAAGTTTTATGACATGCAAAATAATTGATAATAATCCTTAATCAAATCTGTGGTCTATATAACGGTCGCCAAATTTTGCCACAATATTACTGAACCAAAAGAAAAGCATTAAATGGTGAAAATTCCATAATTTGTCACTTTCGAATATATTTATACAGAGTTTCTGAAGTCACAGATCAAGTAGGTTCAAGTAGTCTTACCCATCTGCAAAAAGAAATGAGCTCATGTATCAGGAGCTCTCTGAATTATTAAATTTAAATATAGTAAGGCACACATCACTTTGAAAGATAAGGAATCTATTTTCTGCATGATTGTAAAATTTTTATTAGCCACTTTGGAAAATGAAGCTTCAAATACACTAAAATATATCATGCTCTGAAGATCAGACGAGCGTCCCACTTGCACCATCTGAGACCCGAGCACACGGAAGCTGTCATCTAAACCCAGCCGAAGGGCTGTAAACCGAGCACAAGCAACACGGGTGCTGCCCTGGCCCTGGCCTGTTCCCTCCCCAAGCTGGTTCCCTCTGTCTTGCTGCCAGGATGAGGCGTCCCTGGGATTGGCTCCTGCTGCTCTGGAGCTGCCCCAAGGGTGGCACTGAGCCTAAGGCCCCGTGTGCGGGTTTGTTTTTTCATAGGTACTTAGTGGATTCTGCCTTTGGGTTATGACTTTCCAAAGTTTCAGGCTAATAATTATCCCAAAGGGGTAGCAAACATCATTTACATCATGTGACTTTTCTCATGGCAGAAGTGTGTTCTCCCTGGTCCAGTCCCTATAACCCAGCGTGCATAAGACAGAGCTCTTATCCAGATTTTGCCAGGAATTAAAGTTATTCAGAGTCATGCTGTGGAAAGGGTTGCATGGAAATTGAACCTTTAAATTCTGATTTAATTTTGTCCAGCTTTTTCCTCGGTGAAAGACAAGTTAAATCATGTCATTTCTGTGCTTAATGCGCTTGAAGGAACTGCTGTTGCCTAAAATCCCATGTGGGGAGGCAGCAGGGAGGAAGAAAGGAAGGGGGAGGATGGGAAGGAAAAGGGAAAGGGCCGGCTCCCAGAGACCATGTCTGAGGCTGGCCTGGACTTGGTCTTCCCAACCCTGCCCACTCCCTGACATCGTCCTCGTTCCCTGGAGGCCACACCCACACTGCACCATGGGTGACAGGCCCTTGGTGAATCACTGCAGAGCTCTCCTGCCCTCAGTCACAGAGCGCAGCCTTCTCAGCCCAGAGAGACTTCAGAGAGTTAGAGGCAAATACTGCTGATAGACAGAATGAACGGAAAAGCGTCAGAGAGTCCTCACAAAATAATTCCAGTTAGCCAAAGCAATCTCCAGCAAAGTGAGCAAGGCAGGAAGTACTGTTCAACCTGACTTCAAAACACACAGTATGAAGCTAAAGTAAATGAAATAGCAGACTAAGGGCACAAAACCAGGCACACAGACCAGCAGAGCAGCGTGCAGACCCTGGCAGGGAACCAAACATCTACAGTCAACTGATTTTTGGTGAAGGCTCTGAGAACACGCACTGCAGGAAGGACAATCTTTCCAATAACGGTGCTGGGAAAACTGGGTATCCATACGCAGAAGAAGGAAACTAGACACCTATCATTCTCCAGTTACAAAACCAACTGGAAACGAATTAGAGAAATGTTGAAACTTAAAAGGTTGTGTAAGTTAGGTGGCAGCCCTGTGTTACCTGCTAAATGTTATCTTAGTTTTTGCCCAACACCCCCAATGTAAAGGAGGAGAAGTTCTTTTGCCTCGTGTTTTAAGGGAATTCAGTCCACGATCTGCCGCTTCAAGGCAGAGAAACCTCACGGCAGAAGGGCATGATAGAGCAAAGCTGCTTAGCTCACGGTGCCCAGAAAGCAGCATGAGGAAGAGTACCAAGGCAGCGGCCGGGCACCAGATAGAGTAGCTGAGGTCACCCCTCCATGACCTCCCAGCACACCCAGAAGTGTGTCCACCAGTCCCCTGCTGGCTCCCAAGCCAATCAGATTGATGCCATCAAGCTGAGCCACCACTATATACACAGTGGCGCAGCACCCAGCAGAAGAAGAATGCGATTGTGTGCTACACGCGTAGAACGGGAGGTCATTATGGAAGCGAGACGGACCAGGCTCAGGAAGGCGAGCAGTGCATGATTGCACTGACACGCTGAATCTGAAACAGGTGGCCCCACACACAGAGAAGAGCGGTGGGTGGGGGAGGGCAGGAGGACGACGCTGTCCCTGAGATTAGGGGGGGTGGCAGGGGAGTCTTTGTGGGCTAACGCGCAGCAGGGTAATGCCACTAAGAAAAACGTCAAAAAAAAAAAAAAAAAAAAAAAAAAAGACAGAAAAGAAAAACGCCCCACACACTTCACGATGGCAGAAGAAAGGGTGTGATATTTTCATCAAAAGCATTAATGAGGTAGATGCACAGGATCTGACTTAAAGATTACGCAATGAATGTCGGTGTCAGCGTGTCGCTCAGCACCCGGGAAGTATGTAGAGTTTTTATGCCCTTACCTAGCAGTCAAAAATAACTTTAAGTGAAAAATGACCATGCTTCAAAAGCCAAACGGAAGTGTCTCTGTTTAAATGACCCTTCGGGCATTGTAGCCCTTGCCTCCCTTGCACCTAGAGCCAAGCACAAAGGCGCACGCGTGACAGCAGTGACAAGCGGGCACGGCCAGGTGGGTCCTCCCAGTCCTAGCTCCTGACAGGTGCAAGCCGGGAAGTGGCTGAAGTCGGAAGGGTGCCCACGCAGCGTCGCGTGCAGTAGCTTTGCATGTCAGGGAGCAGGCTCCCTTCTAAGCTGCCCAAGACACAGACTTCGTTCACTTCGCTTTCCCTTTAAGCAACTTCACTCTCATGTTCAGCTCGGTTATTTATTGAGCATCACTGCATGCCAGACGCTCTCGGTGCTGGAGAAACAAATACCATGGCCCATGGCTTGGAGCTCTGCTCCCAGGAAGATGCTGACAAGGGGAGACACACACACAGCAGGTGTCAGCCAGGGTGTGGCCCCGCTGGCTGGAAAATCAGCAGCCCGAGAGCTGGCAGGTGCTTAAGGTTGGACCTAGATTTGCGGACAGTGTGGGTCAGGGCAGCGTCTCTGGAGGTGTAACTGGCTGAGGAGGAGGAGGCGGGGTGGAAGTCGAAGGTACAGGACCCCCTCCTTCCACCAGTGTGAACCTGGAAGAGCTCATTTTCTCCAGGGACCAAGCAGTAGCATCCCCATGAGTCTGGCAGCTGGGTACAAGGTGGTGTCCAAGGGTCACAGGACTGAGCCAGTAGCGCCTGTGAGTCCACCTGAGGAGGCCAGGGGTTTTGTGTTCAGGGGATGGGAGGCTACAGCAGGGCACAGGCACAGTCCTCCGAGACACCGCACCTGCCAGGAGAATCGCTGATGCTGGCCGTCCTTATCATAGGTGACCCCGTGGAGTGCTACTCTGTTATGAAGAAGGATAAACTTGAGTCATCTGTAGGGAAGTGGGTGTACCTACAGACTGTACTGTTAAATGAAACAAATCAGACACACAGCTTAAACATCACTTGGTTCCTCATTAATGAGGAGCCCAAAGTACAAATAAGTTAAAGAGCAAAGACAGATCACAGGCAACCTGGAGCAGCATCTTTTGCAGATGGGGAGGGAACCAAAAGAGGGAGGGCAAAGGAAAGAAGGGGACATAAAGAGAAGGAAGGCGTGTGCTGGAGCGTGAGCGCGACGCACTGCCAACGTGGACTGATGAAAGGAAAAGGTAAAGAAAGAGCGAAACTAGTCAGAGCTTTCAGCTTCGCCACTGCAGTTCTTAAACACTTCCTGTTCCAACAGGAAGTTCAGCTGCAGCCAAGAGAGCCTGAAACATTTTGTATATGTATGAGTGAGGCTGCAATTCTGTGTTGTCTGCTGAATATTTTCTCAACTGTGCAAGGCTGGTCCTGGGGCGCGCGCGGCTGCACGGCTCTCCCCCAGGTCACTCCCGGCGGCCGGCGGCCCCGAAAACGGCGCGGCCTCGGCCCTGCGGTCCTCTCCGCGGCTGTCCTAACTCATCAGTAGGGAGCCGGGGTTCTTGCTTACGAAATGATGTGTCAGCACCTGCTGGCGCACACCTCCCTCCGGGTTAGACTCAGGCACGCCAGAGGGCTGTGCCCCAACTTGTTAACTTCTGGGTTTGCACGTGAGGGTCAAAGGCAGAGACGGCTAACCCGGCTGAGCCGACGTGGCGGCGCGGTCCCTGCGCAAAGGGCTCCGCTAGCCTGCACTCCGCACCGAAGAATCACAGCGCCCTGTGTGGGGAACTTTAGGAACGACGCGGTGCAGATGCTGAGGCAGAAATCGGGCCTGCTCCTGCCTCCTGCCATGGCCAGCAGGTTGCTGGAGGAGGGGAAGGCTCACAGAAGGAAACTAGGACATTGCCGGAGAACCCAAGGAGTAAGCAGAGAACAAGGAAGGAGACCCCGGGAGTCCAGGGCACGGCCCAGGCGCTTCTGAGTCCCTGCGCCTGGCGCCATCTGTGGCTGTGAGCTCGGTGCTCCTGTGGTTGCCGGGTGCCAGTCTGGATACCCGCAGTGTCTTCTTCTAGGCCTTGAACAGGATTCCCGTGAGCTCCGCCCGGCGCCGTTACAGGTCCAGGAGAAATGAGTCAGGTCAGGATGTGACTCAGAGATCTTGCCGCTGGAGCGCAATCTCCAAGTGCGCACGCTACGCACACTGGAGTGGGATTTTAATCTGGAGAGAGTTCTAGCAGACCGTGAACATCGATAAAACAAACCTGCGCTCTCCTGTGTCGGTTTCCATACAACGGGAATATCGCGCCGGCATCCTTTTAAAACTGCTTTCTAAGGAGGTGATTAGTCCCTGGGGTTCAAATTTGGAGACTTCTCAGTTATCTCAACTGGGAGAGAGTCTGCTGAGCAGGCCC